GCTCTTCGCCCTCTCCTTCCCACCAATCCTAACCTCAACCTTTATTTTTCCGGACTTCCTAACAGTTCTGCTCATCCAGGAGGAGTTAACCCAGGACCTCCGTCCCCACCAGCGGCCAGCTTCCAGCTCAGCATCCCTCCTGCTATTCCAAGCATCCTCGCAGCAGGGATGCCAGCACACTCCAAGCTTGCTACTCGGCACATCACCGCCCGCTGGGGATGAGCAGGAATCCACGCTTGGCTTTTCAGGATCTGGCACCCACATCGGGAAGCCGTGGGCCCACGGACAAAACCAACAGCTCCAAACCAGAAAGGACCTCAGGAAATAAATGCAGAGAAAGCCAAGAGAGAGAAACGGAGCCGGGGCAGCTCCATGCGCTCCAGATTCTCTCCTGCCCTGAAATGTGGTGGCTTTTGGACATTGCCAAAACGTAAACAAAACCCCAACGATCCCTTGTTCCCCCATCCCACCCCCCAACAGTTTCTTAAACACTTAATGTCCAGCTTAAGTGAAATCAACAGATTTTACAATCCACACAGGTGTCGAAAAGGAGAGTAACACAAATTAGCTAGTTCCTGTTGTCATCACAACAAAACAAAAAAAACCCCAACTCGAGCCTCGGAGGCAGAGGGCTAACTGCAACGACCCTCGCAGGGGCTGTGCCACCCCACCGCAGAGCTCTGAGGGGCTCTTTGGGTCCCACTCCCAGCAGGGAACCCCCCTCGGGGCCCAAACGCCTCTCGCTGTCGCCAGGCATCCTCTGTCCCGACCCCAGCACCGGGATGCTGCTGCCCCACACCTCCTTCCTCCTCCTCCTCTTCTACATCCTACACGTAAAACAGGCAACCACAAACACCCCAGCCAGCTGTGTGAAAGAACGTATATATTCAGCACGCACTCAATACAGTATAGCAAAAAAAGCTATCGTTTCCTTAAAAAAAACAAAACAAAACACAACAAAGCCACCAAACTGTCAACATAACCACTGAAGCTTCCAAATCGCTCCCCACCCTACAGCCCTGACGCCCGTCCTTCTGGCCCGAAGAAGGCAACCAGCGGCGAGCGACCCCAGCCCCGCGCCCCA